GCTATAACCTCCACCCTGCATACCACTCTCTCCTTCCCGCTGAGAGTCTCCATCTTCTCGCTCCTTTTGTATGCAGCACAAGCAGTAATTTTTAATCCTACTATGGATTACAGTTAACTCTGGGAATGGATTTATGTAAGCATTTTTCAAAAACTAGGTCAAAACTCAGCTTAACTATGTATTAACTATATGGTCCAAGTCACATAAACTTTCTGACCCTTGGTTTCCTTATCTGTAAAACAGAGATGTTAATAGTGTTCATATGATTGCCATGAGGATTAAAAGAATAATGTTTGTCAAGTGCCTTGTTATAATGCTGGTGGATGCTCAATAAATTATAATATGGCTGCCAACATAACAGCCAAAGTGCACCATGTGCCTGGCAGTGTATCAAATGCTTTATGTGAATTATTTTAGCTTCAAAGCCCTTTAAGGTAAGTGCATTTATTATTTGTTTATAAGCACAACACTCTAAGAACTGTTTCATTTTTTTGTGTTGCATTCTGATCTTTATCCTTCCTTATACATATTTTATGTACTTCATAGTGTGTTTATACTTCTTACTCTGGTTTTTAAATGTTGTTTACTATTCTTTGGTTGTTTATTATATATAATTTTAATAATTACATAATATCTATTCAGTTGCTATTCTATAATTTATACATTCCACTATTGCTAGATATTTGCAGGCATAAAAACCCATTTCATATTGTGAACCTTTTCTTTATTGTTAATTGGTCTCCAAAAGCTGTGACATTTTTATACTAACATGAAGTAGTTTTGACCTAGTTGTGTTATTCTCTAAATTCTCTAATTCTGGAAGTAGAATGGGGATTGTGTGAAATGTTTCTTAAGAAATCAGAAAAAAATGATAGTGATTCAGTCAATCCAGCAACCCATCAACTAAAAAAGCATTTAGATAATATATTAGGAGTTATATATAAAGAAGTCCAAAGTTATAGTGTAACAAAGACAAGAAACAGTAGTGGTGATATGATCCTGTCAAAGGACCTATGATATAGATTTTAAACCAGTCACTATAGATATATCTGTATTGCAATATTAAATAATAAATATAAGTCATTAGTAAGTTGGGTGAGATGTGCAGAGAAAAGGGACTTTTTTGCTTCCCTGCTTTCCAGGGGGGTTGTCAGGGCCAACTCTGCATAAAAGTTGTTATATAGGTGAGGTTTGTATTGACAATACTTCCTATAGGTACCTTGTACCTGTCTGGTGTTCCCAGCTGCCACTTCATAACATGACATAAACTGGAGGCAATGGATTCATCCTGGGGATTGATTTAAAGAGGCTGGCTGAGAAAATCCTTGCTCTGCTGGGACTGTTAAGCTGGGAATACGGGAAGTTGGAGCTGTTAGTGATCATCTTTCCTGGTTGTATGGACAGAATCATTTGCAGGAGGAGAAAATGAGGAATGTAGGAGAGAGAAGCAAAAGAAAACCAACAGGTGATGCAGAGGGGGAAGGAAGAAGAGAAAATATAAGTTTGATAGAAAATACCATAGGTAGCCTATTTTGATATTTGGGGGGTTCAAAGAACTCATTCTAAATGTGTGACTTTAGTCAGACAATTTTGGACAGCAGGTTGACGGCCAAAGATTCTTATTTCCTCCTCCTCCTTCTTCATCATTAGCTAGGATCTGACTATGTGGCCCAGACTGGTCTTGAATTGTGAGCTCAAGTGATCCTCTTGCCTCAGCTTTCTTTGAAGTTGGGACTACAGGCATGTATCACTGTACCATGCTAGATGCTTTTTTTAAACTAGGGCTCCTCCCTTCAATTGTGACCTGTATGGTACTCTCTTGTATTCTCAGAACTGTGATCTCTCTCCTCTCTTGATACCCATTCTAAAAAAGTCCTCTTGCATTCTGTCTTCTTTCCTCAGCGTGCTCTCTGTTTCTTGTTCCAGCCAAAACTCTTGAAAAAGTGTTTTCTCCTAGTCTTTCCACCACCTTATTTTTCACCTCAACCAACTCCAAATGGTCTTTTACCCTCACCCACTACTGCAACTACTCAAAGATTACCCAGAATCTGTCCACTGCCAACACCACCTTGTCCTTGCTTAGTCTCTTAGCATCACTTGACCTAGCTCACCATTTCTCCCTGCTTGAACACTTTTTCTTTGACTTCTACAATGCTCGGACACCATATCCTTCTAATTTTCCTCCTACACCCCTGGATGCTGCTTCTAAAGCCCCTTGCCTGCATCTCCTCCACCTGTAAATGTTGGGAGTTTCTGGTAGGCTCTGTCCCGATTCTCTTCCTGACTTTTCCCATAACAGAATCCCATCCACTATTCTAGTTTCCATTACTATCTATATACACTGGCTTCTAAATTTATGTTTTTAGCTCAGACTGCCCCTCTGAGCATCACAACCACCTAGTCAATTGCCCAGTTCAGATTTCCACTTACGTGTATCACAGATATATCAAACTCGACAAGTTTTAAATTGGACTCTTCATCTCCTCCCACAAATCTTATCCTCCTGCAGGCTTTCTTAACTCCTTAATGACTTCTAAATTCACTCAAGCCATTTTCTGCAAGTCAGCCTTGATACTTTCCTCTTCCTCATTCTCTCCAATCTATCCCCAAGACCTCAATTCTACCTCTTAATCACTAAATCTATTTACATTCATCTCCATCACCATCTTTCCTCCTTTTGGTGTTGGCAATGTCCTCCTAACTGCTTTCCACAAACCCATGCTTTTTCCTTCCAATTCATTCACTGCATGGCCCCAGAGATATATTTTAAAACACAAATTGCATCTGGGTCTAGCTCTGTTTGACAGCCTTCTGGGGCTTCCAGTTGCCCAAAGGTAATGTGAAAAGAGTTTCCCATGACCTCCTGTTCATATGCCTATATTTTCAGGCTGATTTTATCCAATTGCCCCTTGCTTTTCAGCCACATAGAGTCCTCTCTGCTCCCAAACAGGTTAAATCATCCCTTCTTTCAGGTTGTCTGAGTGGTACCATACAGGGTACAGTTGAAGGGAGGGGCCCTAGTAAAAGTGTTGTTCACTTCTTCAGGGAATCTTTGCCTGATCACCAATGCAGGCTACATTCTTCTATGGCATCTTGAGCTTTTTCTTTACTGTACCCTACACATGTCATCTTCTATTTATTGTTTCTCCTTCCTATGGGACTGTAAACTCAGGGAGGGAAGGCACCCTGGCTGTCCTTCGTCCTATGACTCTGGCACTACTGTCCACCTCAATGCCTAATTGGCACTGGTTGATGGGTTATATCCCAACCCTGGGGCAGCTGTGCAGGAAATCTTCAGTGGTTCTTAAAGTTCAGCTCTTTGGAAGAGAAGGTGACAGTTGACCCAAACTATGAACTTAATCTTTTCCCCTGGAGCCCTAGGGCCAGAAGGTAGATGTCCTCTAGATGTCTTTACTTTATAAGCTCCACCTAAAGCTATGGTGACTTTAGGGGGATGTATTATATCCTTGCCTTTCTCTTTAAAGAAGCTTTGGTGTTTTCAAGACAGGCCCTCCCCCCACCAATCCATTGTTCTTGTTTTCATTGTATAGTGTGCAGTTATTTCTGGCTAGTCCTCTATTCATTAGTGTGAAATGGCCAAGATCCTATTCAGAGAACCCATTAGGACACTGGAAGGAGGGGGCTAAAAGAAACAAACCACCGCCATAGCAAGAAAGAGAGTAAGTATCTTAAGGATGGTGGAAGGAGACCCTCATTGTTAAGCAAAATACATGTATGAAGATGTGAATTTGGTGTCAACATACCTTATATACAAACAGAAATATGATAAATTGTGGTATAAAGGTGTATTGTAATGCAAAAAAAGAGATCTCATGTATAATGGCATAAATTGGCATGAACATACTTTATATACAGAGTTACGAAAAATTGTGCTGTGAATGGATAATTGTGATTGTAATGCATTCCACTATTGCCATGTATGTAAGAAAAAAAAAAAAAAAGAATGGCCTCGACTTTATGGAATATAAATTGGTTTATATTCCAGGCTGGCCCTCAGGGAGCACACCTTTCCGTGCAGCAGAGTAGACCAAAGTCCTCCCAGGGGGACAAAACCTCCAGGAGCAGTTGGTGGGAAGGATCAGAAGGCTGCTCATTCTGACAGCAGTAACACACTGTTCTTTGAAGAGGCAATTTTTCAGCCGCACGTGTTGGGGGACAGCCTGTGCATGAACATTTTCTGACCTTGCCAGGCAGGGCTGGGTGGACCAGGAACCACTCCGTAGAGGAAGAGACTTATTAGATCTCGGCCCTGTCTGTCTCTAGAAGAACCGACCTTTCCTGCTCTTTGTGCAAGGAGACACACCTCTCTGAGGAAGGAGGAGGACAGGATTTCCATCATTACTAACTGCCCTATTAAAAACAAAAACAAAAACAAAACATCTGTGTAATTACCCTCAGCAGGAAAGGCTCACAAACAGGATGAGCCATTCCTGTAAAGATTAGGAAAAAAAGAATCTCCCCATCGCTGTGCTCTTGCCTTTGGCCAGGGCTCTCCCGGAGTGCCAGGCACAGTCACTAGTCTGTCGCAGAGGGTAGGAGGGAGGGTTCCCCGCTGTTTGTCTTCCACATCCTGCAGATCTTCCAGTCCTCCCCAGCCCTTCTCCTATGCCTCAGGTGTTTGATCCAGCTCGCTCAGGAACCCTTCCCTTTTTTGGATCGCTCCTGGGGTGGCCCCTAGCTGGCCGCGCGCGCCAGACCTGGAGAGGGAGAAGGGAGCACGCAGCGAGGTGCGGGCGTTGGGCTCCACCGCCGCGTGCGCCCGGGCACCCCACCAGCCGGGCTGGGTGGCGGGCTGCGCACCACGCCCCCTGGGTGCGGAAGGCGCGAGGAGTCGGCGCTGGGGTTCTGTGAACTTGAAGACTGGCGGCGGGAGGTTGCTGCTCGGGATGCGGCGGCAGCTGCTTCCTGGTTTGAAGCTCGCCGAGTGGGGGAGAGCGTGAGCCCGCGGAGGCGGGGGCAGGAGGAGAGGCTAGAGGAGGCGGGGGAAGAGACGCTTGGGGCTGGAGCGAACCGGACGGGTCGCTCTCCCAGGAGAGGAGCTTCCCGGCCCTGGAGAAGGGGCGAGTCCCACGCGATCCTCCGGGAAGCGTCGCGCTCTCGAGAGGAACGGTCGAGCTTTCCCGGCCCGCGGAGGGCTCGGCGCCGGGCTCCCCTCCTTTCCACCTCGGGAGTAAGAGAGGGAGGGAAGGAGGGGAGGGGAAGGTCCCACGGAGGAGGCAGAATGGCCGGTCGAGGGGGGCTTTGGCGCTTTTCCCTGGAGCTGCCTCCACTCCTGCGGCTGCCGCGAGGGCTGGCCAGAGCCTAGTCTCCGCGCTCTCCCGTGCGAGCCAGCGCGGCCCCCTGGGGCCAGGGCAGCAGCGCCGGCATGTCGTCCGGCACCATGAAGTTCAATGGCTATTTGAGGGTCCGCATTGGCGAGGCGGTGGGGCTGCAGCCAACCCGCTGGTCCCTGCGCCACTCGCTCTTCAAGAAGGGCTACCAGCTGCTGGACCCCTACCTGACAGTGAGCGTGGACCAGGTACGCGTGGGCCAGACCAGCACCAAGCAGAAGACCAACAAACCCACGTACAACGAGGAGTTCTGCGCTAACGTCACCGACGGCGGCCACCTTGAGCTGGCCGTATTCCACGAGACACCCCTGGGTTACGACCACTTTGTGGCCAACTGCACCCTGCAATTCCAGGAGTTGCTGCGCACGGCCGGCACCTCGGACACCTTCGAGGGCTGGGTGAGTAGCGTGGACTCCTCCTCTTTCTGTCCACTGGATCTCTTCTTCCATTACATTTTTCAAAAATCGCCCGGGTCCCGCTTCCCCATTGCTCAGCATCAGAGGGAATTCCCTCCAGACTTTGGTCTTCTCCCAGATGGCCGCGGCACTGGTGACGCGACCGCGGTGGGTGTGTGCGGGCGCAGGTGTGTCTTGAGGAAGCCGGCCTGGACCTGGTCCCTTTTCAGAACCGCGGTTTTGGGCTAACGGGAAGCTGGGAAGGGGCTAAGGTGGTCACCTCCCTCCTCCCAGACTTTGGGTTAGGCATCCCAACTCTCAGCCCACGGGTAGATAGGAAGGGAAAGAAAAGGGTGATATGAAAGTGCTCCAAGCGCTTCTTAGGAGAAAGCCATACATACATTCTCGCGAGTATTATTCATAGTGTTTATGGATACATGTTGGTTCAGCCGTGCAGACGTGCACACGTGTTTCAGCATGCACATCCATTACATCCCAGAGGTACAGAAGCTACACTGGCAGGGATCAGATTGCCTGGGTTTGCATGTTGGCGAAGTTTTATTGTTTAGCAGTTTTCCAAGGAGATGAGCTTTTCATGGGTTAGCAACTAACTTCAATCTGATACGTGTGAGTTCTGCAATGTGTAGTGTCTGCAGCTGTGGGTCTGAGAAGAGACTACCAGAGCTCTTTAGAAGATTGTTGACCGCCCTGCCTCCCCGCCATCACCTGCTGGTTTTTCTTTGTATTGACACGTCGCTACCCGGCAACTTCTCACTTGCCTCTGCTTTCTGCATATTTCCCATGAGGCCAAAATTCTGCTGAAAATAAACTAAAATTTCTAGAGCACTCTACACAGTGTAGAAATGCTTTTGCTTCTTAATGCTAACTCTATCCTTGATGATGAAAGTGGTCTTGTTTGGCAAAGTGCAGTACCCGGGTTTGAAGACTAAGGAATTTAATGGTTTAAGTTGTGGAAGGGGTCAGTTTTGAACCCAGAATGGGAATCAGTATTGGAAATCTCTTTGAAATTAATAAATGATGAAATCAGATGGATAATGACGAAGATTCATTTAGATTTTTTTGTTTTATACTTTGGGGAATTAGTAATTTCACCATGTGTTCTCTAAAATTAGAGATGGCTTGTGGAACTACCCCCTCTTCCTCTCCCCTCCCTTCTCCCTTCCTTCTGTCCTTGCTTCCTTTTGTGGAGCACTGAGGATTGAACCCAATGGCACTGTACCCCAGAGCTACATCCCCAGCTCTTTTTATTTTTTTATTTTGAGTCAGGGTCTTGCTGAGTTGCCCAGGCCAGCCTTGAGATCCTTATCCCTCAGTGTCCTGAGGATAAGGATCTTATGCCACCATGCTCCAGGCTAAAATCCACCACTTTTTTTTTTTAAAATGTACTGAGGATTTAACCCAGGACCTCATGCATTGTAGGCTAGCACTCCACCACTGAGCTACATTCCCAGAGACACCCCCCCCCCGTCACTTTTTTTTTTAAGAATTCAACTTTTTAAGATGTATTTGTTTTTATGTGGTGCTGAGGATCCAACTTAGTGCCTCACAGATGCTAGGCAAGTGCTCTACCACTGAGCTACAACCCTAGCCCTCCCCTCTACCTTTTTTTCACAGAGGTCAAAAACCATCATGGCTGTTTAAGCACAATCATCAAATCATATTGAGTTCATTTTTCTTTAACCAACTTACTTTGTGGAATTTAGAAGTGAACTAGAAAGGAATGACTAAAATACATGCATTTTATCCTGTGAGTTTCTGGATATGAAATAGAAGTGAGTATAGGAATCTGAATGGATTTACTGATTAGTGTCTGACTAGGAATTAGGTTGGGCAAAGTTCTATAGGAATTAGGTTCTGAGATAGGGTGGTACAGATGAGCCAGAGGTCATGAGAAGCTTGTCTCTTTGGAGAGAGCCTAAACTGGTACTTCTCACTCATGGTTTGAGGATTTGAATCACCAGGGAGCTTTGTGCCCACCTCCCCAATCCTTTATTCTGGGGATTGAATTAGGGCCTCTGCATACTAAGTAAACACTCTGTTGCTGAGCCACATCCCCAGCCCTTTTTATTTTCTGAGACAGGTTCTCACAGCTGACCTCCTTATTGTGATCCTCCTGCCTTAGCCTTCTGAGTAGCTGGATTTGAAGGCTGTACTACAGTGCCTGCTAAAGATCCCTACTTTTAAAGACTCTAGCTAGGAAGCTGTAGCTGTGGTACCCAGCAACAGTACTTACAGGATTCCCAGGTGATTCCAATGTGCAGTCAAGGTTGAGAACCTGTAGCCTAAATGAAGACTAAGAGATAAGGACTGAAGATGGGAAGATGCAGGTCATTTGACTAGGTGGTGTACAGAGCTGGGTATTATACCACTGGATGAATAAAGATTTAAGTGTAAATTTAATTTCTATAATTGTTTAAAATAATTATACTTAAATGTTTAATACAACCGTTGGTGGTGTTTTGGGAAACATGAATGTTTGATAGGATAGGTTCAGCATTTAAATAAACCAACAATTTGTCATGCATTTATATTCAGTTAGAGGAGTGTTTTTTTTGGGTTCTAGGTATTTTGAAACTGAGGATACGGTAGATATTGTTTATTTTTGTTAAAAATATTCAAAAATATATAGAATGCTTACTTTTTAAACTATCCTGTATAGGTTAAAAGGTTCTTTGAGGGGCTGGGGATGTGGCTCAAGCAGTAGCATGCTCACCTGGCATGCGTGCGGCCCTGGTTTGATCCTCAGCACCACATACAAACAAAGATGTTGTGTCTGCTGAAAACTAAAATAATAAATATTAAAAAAATTCTCTCTCTCTCAAAAAAATATTTAAAAAAATATTTAAAAGGTTCTTTGAAGTCAGAATTATAGAAATTCTTATCTTTGCCATATAAAAATGAAATATTTAGTTTATTCAGACAGTTACATGTGGAATAATTGAACTTACTCCACAATAAATTTTTGTGTTGCAAGTGAAACGACAGATTGCTAACTTATAAAAAAAAACACAAGCAATTTCATTTTTCCTACATCATAAGAAGATCTAATGGTAGCTTTATTGTAAAACAAGATATAAAAACAGAAGATACTTTTATTATAAGACTATTGTTAGGCTTTCTTGGTTATGGTACTTTCTACTATCAAGAATATAACCATTAACATTGGTTTTAGTGTAAGTCCATTGGCATTTCTGCTAACCTTGATGGGAAGAAAGCATTAGATCTATTTTATGCAATATATACCTAACGCCAAATTTTTGTTTACAGACTTTCTCTCTCTCTCTCTCTTTCTCTCTCTATGTATGTGTGTGTGTGTGTGTATACACACACACACACACACACACACACATATACATACATACACACACACACGCACACACATCATTTTATTCAATCCATATAAAACCCAAGGAAGTGGTGGGACACAGTTAAAGGAGTTCTTAAATGGAAATTCATAGCATTGAACACTTAAATTAGAAAAGAAGATCTTGAATCAAAGACCTAAGTTTCTACCTAGAAGACTAAATTAACCCAAAATAAGTGGAAAGAAGAAAATTATAAAGATAACAGAAATCAGTGAAGTGGGAAATAGGAAAATGAAGCAAAGAGTTGGGTTTTTAGGAATAAAATTAATAAACCTCAAGCCAGAATGATGAAGGAAAAAAAAAGACAGGACAAAAATTACCAATATTAGGAACAAGAGAAACATCATTGCAGATAGAGGATAATGAGGGTATATTGTAAATATTTTATGTCAGTAAATTCCACAATTTAGATGAAATGAACAAATACTTTGAAAGATGCAAACTACCAAAATTTTCTCAAATGACTTGAATAGCTTTATATCTATTAAAATAATTGAATTTGTAGTTAAAAATCTTTCACAATGCAACCTCAGCTCTCAGATGGCTTTACTAGTGACTTTTATGTTCATTTAAGGAAGAAATATAATCAACTCTATATGGACTTTCATAAAATAGGAGATAATTTATTCCCAACTCATTTCATAGGTTGACTTTATACCAGTAATAACATTAAACCCAACACAGATGAAGACATTACAAAAAAGAAAGCCACAGACTATTAGTCAAGAACATGATGCAAAAATTCCTAAGCTTTACCAAATCAAATCTAACACTATAGTAAATGAATAGTGTCTCTTGATCAAGTGCAATTTATGATCAGTACTTCATGGTTGATTTAATGTTTTCAGATTAGTAAGCGTATATTAATAGAATAAAAATGATCATCTCAATAAATCAGAAAACATTTGACAAATTCAGTGTCCATTCACAATAAAAATTCTCAGCAAATTGGAAATATGAGGGAACTTATGTAACCTGATAAAAGAAGGACATCTGTGAAAAGCCAACAAGTACCATCTTAGTGGTGAAAGAATGAATGTGATCAGGATCAAGGCAAGGACGTCTGATCTTTCCACTTTTGTTCAACATGGTTCCTGCTCAGCAGGAACTAAAGCAATTTCAAGAAATAAAATGCATGTAGATTACAGAGGAAGAAGTAAAACTGTATTTATTTGCAGAAAAATTATTGTAGAAAATTCTAAGGAATCTACAAAAGAGCTATTAGAAATAACAAATGAGTTTAGCAGGGTCTCGGGATCCAAACTGAAATACAAAAATTGATTTCATATCTATGGGCTATCAGTGAACAATTGAAAACTGAAATAAAAATGCTATTTATAAGAACATCAAAGGTGTGAAATTGGATAAATTTGATAAAAGGTGCAAGACTTTTCATTGGAAAGGACAAAACATTGCTGAGATGAAAATATATAAATGGAGAGAGAAATACTGCATTCATGGATGGGATGATTCAATGTTATTAAGAAATCAATTCTTCTAAAGTATTCAATAGATTTAATGCAATCTCAACTAAAATTGCAGTGAGTTTTGTCATAGAAATTGACAGACTGATTCCAAAATTTATATTGAAATGTGAAGTACCTATACTGATCTAAG